CAGAAATGATTTCTCTGAGATTGGAAAAATTTTATTGAATTTCTGTATTTAATGATTCAGGTGACTTCTTCGAACAGATATTGGATTAACTTGCAGCGATGACTTCTTGACAAGAAGCTTGACTAAGCTCCGATGACTTCTTGACAAGAAGCTCTTAATCGAGCCTAATATCAACCGAATGTTATTGCAAAGAAATTAAGATTTTTAATAAAACTTTGGAATAACTCAAAAAGCATTTTTTTTAAATAAATATCACCAGCATAATAAGCAGCGCAAAATTAATAAATTCTGTTATGGAGTCTTTAATCTTTAGAGATTTGTGATACAATTTTTTCCGATTTTCTGGTCCTGAACAGTAAAATAGGCGTGGACCGAAGCCCTGGTTCAACTGACTGAAAATAAGTGACGTTTAATAAAATACAATCACGAGATTTATGTGCGCATTTAACTGAACCTTGATTTTGTCAGCACCATCGGATTATTGCTGTTTAAATTACAGTGAAAGCCCTTAAAGTGCAGCGTTCTTGGAATAGTATTTGAATAACTTTAGGAGACTTTTTCTATGATGAAGTTATTTCTCGTCAGTCACCATTCAAAGCCCCCAACCAACCCCCCTCTGCATTTCTTTTTAAACAAACCAGTAAGCTTTTTCACATTTTAATGATGTTTATTCGTTCTTTTGAAGTTCAAAACTTCCTAATCCAAATGATGTTTGCAAATGAAATTGAATTTAATTTCAATCCAAAAGCATTCCTATTCTTATCATGGCTCCTTGGAAATCAATTTTCCTTAAAGGAGGAAATAAAAATATTTCATCGCAACGTGAAATTGTGGATGGAAAATCAAGTCGTCAAGAATGCAAATTCAATCATAGAAAATATTTACATTCTACTTGATCAACATCTTCCCGTCGAAACTTGAATATCAATGATGATAGTGCAAACAGTATTTGAGTATTTCTTTTTCATCTTGTTCTTGAGATTATTTGAAGTTTTATGAAACTTTAGCTGTAACGTGGTGAGTCAAACAACTTTTTTCATCCATCGCCAGATGATAATGATGATGATGAGCAAGAAGATCAAATAAATATTTTCCTGAAATAATGTTTTTTTATACACATATCTGAGTTCTTTAGAGCTTGAAGTTTTTCTTCTTCGCTTTTCAACAGGTCTTGAAGTCAGTCAGAGTCCAATATTTGAAAATTTATTGAGAAAACACTCAAAAAATTATGATGTTTGTTTAACCAGCCATGAGAAATATTATCTTAAAACGCTAACGATGTGTTTCGAACGCCTTTTGGAGTTTATGTCTGTATATTTTCTGTTTCCTTTACTGCTGTTGCATCATCATTCAACAAACAGAGATTTGAACATCCAACCATCTCACGGGTAGTTTTTGTTTTCAATAAGTTCACGAAATTGAAAGAAGAAAAGAAGATTTTAAATCAATTTCATGATAATTTGGATGAGGTCTTAGTCAGTGAAGCATCAAATTGTTTGATTTTTGTTCTTCGCTCTCTCTCACTCTCTTTTTCACCGAGTCATGTTTCCGAACGCCAAGTGTGAGAGACATAACAGAACAAATACCCGAAGCCCATTACTTGACGGTGCGAAGTGTACTACAAACATTATAAAAAACCAAATATTTATCTTATAACTGAACAGAAAAAATCATACGAGAAAATTTGTTATGAAAATCAACATCGCAGCGTGGAGTCTGGTTGCTGTATGTGATAAAATTTCGTTGGGATTTCTATTCCTTTTTCTTTAATATTCTCTCATTGTTTTCTTTTGTGCTGTTTGAGCTAGCTTCAATTGTTTATTGACGAAACAGTTTGTCGATTAGGCGCGAGAAACTTCAATTTACTTTAATATTTTTACTTCTTTGTACATAATTGCTTTTAAAAAGACGAAAAATGTTTTTGTACTTTTTTTTCATTCTGCGCATGTTGAAGGTGATTTTTGTCACCTGGAAGCAAATATACCTTAAAAACTTTATGTAGCTAACGCTAAATGCGTGTTTCTTAAATAATAACGAAAACAAAAAATAATTTTTGGTGAAACTTTTTTTTTCTATTTTTTGTTCTGAAATTCGAGCAATTGTATTTCTGAAGACAAAGTTTCAAGGAAAGAAACTTAATACGTACATCGAGCGGAGCCAGAATTGTAGAATGAAATAATAGAATCAAGAAAATAAATAAAACTCCCCATAATTACATTTAACGATGCCTCATTTCAAATATTATTTCAGAGGATATAATAAGAAATGTTGTTGAAAGGCCTGAAAAATCTTTAAGAATGAAAATCTCTTCTTTTGCACAAAAAATAAAAAATGTTTTTGTTCAATTTTATGAACATAACAGAAATAGAAAAACGAAATTATGCCTTGAAGCTGAGAATCATTGTTGTGTATAATGCTGATATTTTTTTCTAGGGAAAAGGTCGATTCTGAAAGGTGACACAATACTCTGATTCGTCGTCGTCGTTAGGAATAGAAAGGACTTTGTGGACCTGAAATATTTTCTTCTTCTACGATGAACGAAAGAACAATTCAAAACATTCTACAATGAAATTTCCTTTTTCTAGTTTTTGTCTCTCGGGTGTCAAAATATTGCGATTTATAACACCCTGGAAGTCCATGGAACATGCAGATAGAAAGTAGACAAAAATTTAAGTCCCTTAAAAGAGGATTTATTTTTATGTTAAACGTTATTCAATTATTTGTTTGTTATTCCTTTCTATGGAGCTCAGACTGTCAGGGCCTGGTTTTACCTGTTCCTCGAATAATCTCTAATTCCTGCATCCTTTCACAATATTTTTTCTAGATTCATTTTCGTCTCCTGCCGATTATAAATCCCAGTCTTCAACTGTCACCGGCAATAAAATTTTAATCCTTTTCAACTTTTGTCCCTTCCATTCTCAGAATACTTGCCGTGCTGTGGAGAATATTTAAATTCAATTTGATTAAATAAAAAAAGAGGTTGTTGTGTAATCTGCGTTTCACCAGTTGGCGTAGGGATAAAAAAAAGGTTAAACGTTCGATAAGCATCAGAAATCATTTGTAGCGGCGGTTGTTGGGAAAAAGGAGAGTAAACAACTGAGTCAGGGCATCGGTCCGTGGGTCGTTTACCCGGTCTGGAACAAGAAAAAGGCGCGGCCCGAATTCTTTTTTTTTTGATAAATTCTTTACAATGAAGAATGATTATATTGAAGACCTAAGGCATTGCTAACTCATTTGTTCTTATTTCGCTGTTGACATTGCGTATATAACTTCATTGTTATCTTATCATGTGCGTAGTTTATGAAAATGAATGAGTTTTGATTGTTGTATCATTTAACAATGTTTAAGTTTTTAACAATTTGTTTGCAAAAATGTCAGAGTAAGATGGGAGAAGAATAGTTTAATTCATACTTTGATGTACTTAAGTGGGTAAATATTCTTATTAATATTTAAGAGTGTGAATAACAATTGATGCATTCTTTTAAATGATATAAAAGGCATCACAATTTTCAGAACTTCATCAGTATCTTGGAACATTTAATTCAGATATGACGAAACTTTTGATTATCTTGGCAATTGTGTGCCTTATTTGCATGGGTAAAATTTATGATAAATGGAAAAAATATTGAAAGTTAATTTTTTTTTTGTGAAATTTCAGTGCTTGTAAACGCACAAGGAAATGGTAATGGAAATGGAAATGGAGGAAATGGAGGAGGAAGACCAAATCAAGGAGGTCAAGTATTTAAAAGTAAATTTGCGAATTATTAAACTTTTGGAATAAATATTTTAGCTGGAAGGTTCCACGATGGCTCTGATGGTTTTGGTAATCAGAAATGATTTCTCTGAAATTTAAAAAATTTTATTGAATTTCTGTTTTTAATGATTCAGGTGACTTCTTCGAACAGATATTGGGTTAACTTGCAGCGATGACTTCTTGACAAGAAGCTCTTAATCGAGCCTAATATCAACCGAATGTTTTTGCAAAGAAATTAAGATTTTTAATAAAACTTTGGAATAACTCAAAAAGCATTTTTTTTAAATAAATATCACCAGCATAATAAGCAGCGCAAAATTAATAAATTCTGTTATGGAGTCTTTAATCTTTAGAGATTTGTGATACAATTTTTTCCGATTTTCTGGTCCTGAACAGTAAAATAGGCGTGGACCGAAGCCCTGGTTCAACTGACTGAAAATAAGTGACGTTTAATAAAATACAATCACGAGATTTATGTGCGCATTTAACTGAAGCTTGATTGTGTCAGCACCATCGGATTATTGTTGTTTAAGTTACAGTGGAAGTCCTTTAAGTGCAGCGTTCTGTGAATAGTATTTGAATAACTTTAAGAGACATTGAACTGTCCACGACTTGTTAAATGGAATTAACAAAAATGTTTTTTTATCTGTTTGTATAAAAAAAGGAGATTCGACTTTATTTAACTTCCAACTTCGACATCTGTCTTCATTTTGTTTGATAAAAATGGTCGAGTTTATTGCGACAAATTATCATCGGATTGTGATGAATATTAATGTTGGATTTAAATGAGAAAGAAAAAAGTTTGAGTTCGTCCTTTTAATCCAATTTCATTTTATTCTCAACTGTAATTGTGTTTCAATTACTGAAATGTTTGCTTCATTCATGAATGAATGATTTGAGAGAAATTATCACAGGATTAAAGTTTTTTTATTTGACATTCAAGCATGACATATTGCCGACTAAATAGACTTCGAATTGTATTCCTGTTCCTCTGAATGAATAATAAGATTGTTTCCCCTTCATTTCACACATGTCACGATTATAACAGATTTCTTTCTCTCGCTCTCTAAACATCACACAAACAAAACAAATTGGTATGCGGTATTATTGTTGCTGCTGCTGCTGCTTCTACTGAGATTTTATTCATTTCATTCTTATTCTTTTATTCACATGGAAATCTTTAAGAACCAGATTCGTTGTTATTATTATTGTTACAGTTGGAATTGAAACATCAGCATTGCCTAACAAAAAGAAGTTTTTATTTCATTGACAGTTTGAGTTCTTTATTGGCAAGCGTCCAAGTGAAACTTGAATTGTGGATAATTCATAAACTGATCCTACTAACCATCATGTCGTCATGCATTTAATGATAGTTTAACAAGATCATCATCAATTGAATTTTACGAGCTCTTAACATCATTCTTATGCTTGTCAGCGATCCTAACAAATTATTATTCTCGAAGTAAAAGTTAGCAGAAAACCGCAAAAGCTTTCTCATCATGATGGAAATAAAAATCTTTTATGAATTCTTTATCATGTGATTGGACTTCATAAACGATGAAAACATAAAATTTATTTCCTTATCCTTCAAAAAGAAAGCTTTAAGTGATGTCAAACTAATTGCTTATGTATAATAAAAAAAGGACCGGAACTATCTCAACATCGTAAAGATAAGCAGAAGTTCAACCACCTTCAAATACCTGATTTTTATCTTTATGTTTATATAAAATAAAATTTTCCTTCTTCTTTACCTTCATACAGATGGCAACGAAAGTGTTTTCTTCATGCAATTTTCATAATTAAATGTGAAATTTGAAAATTATTAATAAAAAGTTGAAAATGAGAGAAATGAGAAAGAAAATTGCAATCTGCAAACCTTAACTACATCTCATTATAACATCAAGTGTAAGCGAGGTGAGAACAGACGCCTTTATCTCTCAATTAAATCTTTTATGCATCACAAAGGAAATGATTTCAATTTTCCGCAACTCAATCCTTATAATTTTTCTTTGAAATGTCAGCATAAAAGATGGAAAAAGCTCATAAAGTTCATACAAAAGAGCAATTTCTATGATTATACTGCCGTAGATAAAGACTGTGACATTAATGAAAATCAACAAGCTTTTCTCTTTCTTTCAGTTATCGCACAGACTTGGAAAGGATAATGATGTCTGAGCCTTTCAAACATGCTTTCCATTCAAAATTATGAGTTGAAGCGTTTCGTATTTCTTTTCCACCCCCGCTTATTTACCTGACACTGATTGTATTAAATTCATCATTTTTCACAGACAGCTTTCGATGAATGCTCAGTTAAGGCTTAATTTGATTTTAATTTTTTTCGTTGCTTGAAAGATTTTGCATCACTTTTCGTTTTTTATTATAAATCTGAATAAATATTACTGGAGGGCAATCTGATGATCGTTTTGATTGCTATTTGGTGATTAAAGCTTCAAAGTACATTAAACGTTTTATTAAAGCTGAAGTTCCTTTTAAATTTGATACTTTAAGCTTATTAAACATTTTTGATTGTACTTTCGAAAGTTTTCCAAACTACACCCTGAAATTTAAAGGATTAAAAAAAATTAATTAAACTTCATTCATAAACATCATTCAGTTCCTTCCTTTAAATTATTTTCTCATTTTTCTCAACAATTTCCTGTCAACATCATGAGTTAAAGCTTTAAGAACAACATCTCGAGGGAGAAGATTAAAAGTTTTCCTGTTTATCAAAACAAAATCAGATTGAAATTTTAATTGCAATTCAATGAAATTCTTATCACGAAATACGATTTTCTTGTTTTCCCAGCAAGTGTCTTGTGACTTCCTTAAGGAATTTTTCAAGATTTCTTCCATTAGAGTTTGAAGAAGAACTTAAACTATCAAATAACACATGTGATGACTATGAAGATTCTTCCTTGGAAGGAAACCTTAAATGCACATCCATCATGCTGAATATAAATTTCTTCTTATTGCTCTCCATCGTAGCTGTAACAAAACGAAGAAAAATAATAATAAATATGTTGAGGATTAAATTTATGGTAAAATTATTTATAGAAATAAAGAACGAAAATTAAATTCTCTTTCAGCAGTAGAAAGAGAAAAAGATTGATTTCTTAATACGTCCTAATTTCTGAGGTTTCTCTGTGATCAATCTTTAATAAACGAATATATGAGAATTATAAATGAAAGCCTTGAAGGATATGAAGAGACGACGGGGAAAGAAATATATCGGATTATCAGGTCTTATACCTTCTCATTCACAATAGAAAGTCGCTCTCCCAATTTATTGAATTTCCATCGATTCAATAAGAATTGCAGCTCTAGGGATCATCACAGAAGATTTTTACGCAACATCTAATTTCTATTCAATTTATGATTAATTTTATTCTAGCACATTGGCGGAAGGAGAGCAATGAGAAATATTATTTACCTGCCAGGTAAACTTTTCCTTCCAGAATGGTAAGGATACATTATACATGATTCCTTTCATTGAACCTTCGTCTTTGGGTTAAGAATTTATAAGGGATTTGGGATTACAGAGCGCAAAAAAAGGAGGAAAAAATTCAATTTCCATATGAAAATATTGATCAAGTATTGCGTGCTTGTATTACACAAAATCAAATTTATTTGTAATTTGTTTATTCATCCAATTTAGTCAGAGAGAGTGAGAGCTGCCTGTAAACTAAACCTTCGGGAAAAGTGAAGTGACCCGGTCATGTAAATGGACTCTCAAAGTATTGTTGCTGTTCCTATCTGCTCGATTTAAATCGACGACCCTATTTACATCAGAAAAACACATTTCTTGAGTATGAAAGAGAGAGTGAGCCTTAACGCAATTTGTGAAATGTTGGAATGAACATCTAAACTAATATTGATTCAGGACACTCCATTTGGATTATTGGTAAACGATCGAGTTTCAGGTCGATAGCATAATCCACATGTCAAGGAAACAACAGAACCATGTGCCATGAGTCTCACAAGCATTTAATTCCATATGAAAGTTTCTGATATCGGGTTACTGTTGTCATTGCTGATAGCTTGTCAGTTGAAGGAAGGAATTGTAGTTGAGCTTCTAAAAGTTGTATTCCTTCTTCAATTTATCTTGTGTAACTGAAACTTCAAGAAAGAAAACTTTTCAATAAACATAAATATTTCTTTGCAACACAAGTTCAACGAATTTTTACTGTCGAAGTATCGAGTTGTCGAGATAATGCGATTCAAGAAACAAAATCTTTTCCTCAAGGCAAATGAAATTTTCCTTCAACGAGTTGTTTTGTTTGTTTATGTTCCACAAGCATTTCATTTCATTTTAACATTGCGCTTATGACACGAGAATGAATTTGTATGGAATGTCAAAGTTTAAAACTATTTCCTGACACGAGAAGCGTGTTTAAAACAAATTTAAATATAATTCTCTCTGTTTTTTCTTTTCCTTTTCGCTTGATGGAGATTTTTCTATTTTCTTGTCTGTTTTCCATGAAGTGGAAGATGATAGAATGAAAGAAGAGCTTGCTGCTGCTTTCTTTTCTTCAAACTTCCTGCATTTAAACAAATAAACAGCGCCAAAGTTCTTCTTGTGACTTGAGAATAATCTTTTACCGCTTGATAGAAAGACAAACTACGACTTTGCGAGGATAAAAGTCATGCATATAAAGATAGACAATGTTCATGACAGGCCTTTCACAAGAATCTTTCGATATTGTTGAGATCATGAATAAAAAGAAAGAAAGAAAGCACCAACTATAAGTCGATCATAAAATTCATATAACCGGATGCAATCCAATCAAATCGGAAACGAAAATAAAACTTTATTAATCATGAATAAAATTTTATATCTCTTCCTTGTTCACTTCCTTCTTTTATTCTCCCATCTTCTTCATAACAACTAGCAAGGGAATTTATTTCTCATGAAAGGAAAGAAAGAAGTAAAATAGTCAACTTATGAGGTTTTGTTTCTTTCTTTTTTTCCAGATATTTGTCACTTGGTTCTGAGTAATCGACGAACATGAATAAATTTGAAGCTTACTGAGTGTGGAAGCCATACACGGTCGGATATTTGAAACTCAATTTAATAATTTTTTTCTTATTTTTCTTTTGATTGTATACATCCTATTCAAAAGGAAAAAAGAAAAGAACATTAAAAGTCTAAAGAAGGTGTTTTTGGCAGTTGCATTCAATCCTGAATTGTATAAAAGATTCTTTTATGTCACACCTCCGCCTCTTCTCTTTAACCGTGATTTTGGCATTGCCGATTCTGATTTTTATAAAGCAGCAAGAAAAAAAGTAAAAGAAACTTCCACATATAGCACAGAAAATTTTCTTATTCAACGGCTGAAATTTGCATAAATTATTATTGAGACTTGCTTTGTGAGTAAGCGAACAAGAGACTTCATCTGTCGCCTGAACAGTGAATAAAAATAATTTTTATCAAGCAAGAAATACAGGAAATCTTAAAGAAATGTTGATTTT